CAATAACTTGGCATAGAGATATTCCAGACTGCAGAGGATTTTAAGGAGCTTCTTTTAAATGTGGTTTTGTATAACATTGTTTAAATAGACAGGGTGCCAAGGCTGGTAAGTTTAGCACACTATGCTGCCCAGGGGCGGACTGACAACTCATGGGGCCCCTGGGCATAGGGGATCATGGGGCCCCTGTGTCCTTGCCCAAACTCAAAAAAGCCTATGAAAAAGGTACCAGGGGCATCTCATGGGGCCCCCTACTGACCCCGGGCAGTGCCCGAGTTTCCAAACGGTCAGTCCGCCCCTGATGCTGCCATAGCCTTATGAGAAAGCATAAGGTGTTTTTTGGTAAGGCTGAACTTAAACTTAAGACAAAACTCCTGGTGCATGTCAGTGACTGGGAAAAAACATTAGACCAGCATGATAGGCAACTAGCAGTTTCAGACGGTGAATAAATCAATGGCACCCTTCAGGTTTCTCTTCGCTCAGATTTCCTTTAAATATACAGAATTGTAGAGTAGCACTAGAGGGAAGCTCAGCCTCATTCTCCCTCCCTGCAGAACAGCGGTTGAGAAAAATTACCCAACATTTAGGGTATACATTGCTGTCAATGAGTTGACTCAAACTTGTGAGGTGCAGCAGTAAAGTATAGCTACTGGGCAACATTTTATATATATATATATATATATATATATATATATATATATATATATATATATATATATACACACACACATATACACACACACACACACACACACATATACATATATATACACACACACACACACACACACATACATACACACACACACACACATATACATACATACAGTCAGGTCCATAAATATTGGGACATCGACACAATTCTAACATTTTTGGCTCTATACACCACCACAATGGATTTGAAATGAAACGAACAAGATGTGCTTTAACTGCAGACTGTCAGCTTTAATGTGAGGGTATTTACATCCAAATCAGGTGAACGGTGTAGGAATTACAACAGTTTGCATATGTGCCTCCCACTTGTTAGGGGACCAAAAGTAATGGGACAATTGGCTTCTCAGCTGTTCCATGGCCAGGTGTGTGTTATTCCCTCATTATCCCAATTACAATGAGCAGATAAAAGGTCCAGAGTTCATTTCAAGTGTGCTATTTGCATTTGGAATCTGTTGCTGTCAGCTCTCAAGATGAGATCCAAAGAGCTGTCACTATCAGTGAAGCAAGATATCATTAGGCTGAAAAAACAAAACAAACCCATCAGAGAGATCGCAAAAACATTAGTCGTGGCCAAAACAACTGTTTGGAACATTCTTAAAAAGAAGGAACGCACCGGTGAGGTCAGCAACACCAAAAGACCTGGAAGACCACAGAAAACAACTGTGGTGGATGACTGAAGAATTCTTTCCCTGGTGAAGAAAACACCCTTCACAACAGTTGATCAGATCAAGAACACTCTCCAGGAGGTAGGTGTATGTGTGTCAAAGTCAACAATCAAGAGAAGACTTAACCAGAGTGAATACAGAGGGTTCACCACAAGATATAAACCATTGGTGAGCCTCAAAAACAGAAAGGCCAGATTAGAGTTTGCCAAACGACATCTAAAAAAGCCTTCACAGTTCTGGAACAACATCCTATGGACAGATGAGACCAAGATCAACTTGTACCAGAGTGATGGGAAGAGAAGAGTATGGAGAAGGAAAGGAACTGCTCATGATCCTAAGCATACCACCTCATCAGTGAAGCACGGTGGTGGTAATATCATGGCGTGGGCATGTATGGCTGCCAATGGAACTGGTTCTCTTGTATTTATTGATGATGTGACTGCTGACAAAAGCAGCAGGATGAATTCTGATGTGTTTCGGGCAATATTATCTGCTCATATTCAGCCAAATGCTTCACAACTCATTGGACGCCGCTTCACAGTGCAGATGGACAATGACCCAAAGCATACTGCAAAAGCAACCAAAGAGTTTTTTAAGGGAAAGAAGTGGAATGTTATGCAATGGCCAAGTCAATCACCTGACCTGAATCCAATTGAGCATGCATTTCACTTGCTGAAGACAAAACTGAAGGGAAAATGCCTCAAAAACAAGCAGGAACTGAAGACAGTTGCAGTAGAGGCCTGGCAGAGCATCACCAGGGATGAAACCCAGCGTCCGGTGATGTCTATGCGTTCCAGACTTCAGGCTGTAATTGACTGCAATGGATTTGCAACCAAGTATTAAAAAGTGAAAGTTTGATTTATGATTATTATTCTGTCCCATTACTTTTGGTTCCTTAACAAGTGGGAGGCACATATGCAAACTGTTGTAATTCCTACACCGTTCACCTGATTTGGAGGTAAATACCCTCAAATAAAAGCTGACAGTCTGCAGTTAAAGCACATCTTGTTCGTTTCATTTCAAATCCATTGTGGTGGTGTATAGAGCCAAAAATGTTAGAATTGTGTCGATGTCCCAATATTTATGGACCTGACTGTATATACACACACAGACACACAGTGGATATAAAACATCTACACACCCCTGTTAAAATGTCAGGTTTCTGTGATGTAAAAAAATGAGACAAAGATGAATGATTTCAGAAATTTTTCCACCTTTAATGTGACCTATAAACTGTACAACTCAGTTGAAAACAAACTGAATTCTTGGGGGGGGGGGGGCGAGTTAAAAAACTAAAATAATATGGTTATATAAGTGTGCACACCTTCTTATAACTGGGGCTGTAGCTGTGTTCAGAATTAAGCAATCACATTCAAAATCATGTTAAATAGGAGTCAGTACACACCTGCCATCATTTAAAGTGCCTCTGATTAACCCCAAATAAAGTACAACTGTTCTAGTAGGTCTTTTCTGACATTTTCTTAGAAGCATCCTACAGGGAAAGCCATGGTCCGCAAAGAGCTTACAAAGCATCAGAGGGATCTCACTGCTAAAAGGTATCGGTCAGGGGAAGGGTATAAAAGAATTTCCAAGGCATTAGATATACCATGGAACATAATGAAGACAGCCATCATCAAGTGCAGAAAATATGGCACAACAGTGACATTACCAAGAACTGGACGTCCCTCCAAAATTGCTCAAAAGACGAGAATAAAACTGGTCTAGGAGGCTGCCAAGAGGCCTACAGAAACATTAAAGGAGCTGCAGGAATATCTGGCAAGTACTGGCTGTGTGATACATGTGACAACAATCTCCCGTATTCTTCATATGTCTGGGCTATGGGGTAGAGAACACCATACTTACAGTGAAGCATGGTGGTGGCAGCATCATGCTTTGGGGCTGTTTTTCTTCAGCCGGAACTGGGGCCTTAGTCAAGGTAGAGGAAATTATGAACAGTTCCAAATACGAGTCAATATTGGCACAAAACCTTCAGGCTTCTGCTAGAAAACTGAATATGAACTTCATCTTTCAGCATGACAATGACCCAAAGCATACATTCAAATCAACAAAGGAATGGCTCCTGTTGCAACCGTGCACACAAGAGGCAAACACGGCCCTCATTTTGTTAAGAATTCTTCATGTTTTCACCTCATTCCCCCTCCCTCAGAAATGCAGTCAGTGTACGTTGCGGAGGTCAAGAAGCCTGAGCTGCCTTTATACAATCCTCTTCCCAAATAAGGCAATCTGCTTGCTGTTGTAAGAAGACACCAACTGATTTTGTGTAGAAAAAGGCTGTTATGCTTTGTGTGTGGGTGAGAGAAGAAAAGATTTCCCTGCCTTAACATCACTGCAGAGGGAGATCAAAATCATCCTGGAGCTCATAAGACTTGAAACTGCTTAACCCAAGGTGTTTTGGCAAGTACTTATCTACCTAAATCTGTGTATATATGTGTTACATCTTTTCCTGTAAATATTTCTACTGCACCCCTTTTGACCTTTTAGTAATAAATCTTACGTTTTGAAAGTGTTGAACTGTTTCTATAGCTCTTTATTGCAACTTACGACTTCATGCCGCTGAAGAAACGCTACTATGATTGTTTAACCCTCTGTATAACCTGTCTGCGGTGATAGTGGCATACCGACGATTAACCAATCATCCTAGTGTATTGCTGGTATTGCCGAGTTTCCTCTTTCTCTGTACAAAAAGGAGGTGGTGGCAGTGTGAAGGGTTAATTGCTTAATTAACCTGACCCAGTAACAATAGCTCCCAGGCTGCAGGTACATCGATTGTGGTCCAATTAGCTGGAAAATCGGTGTGCAGGGTGCAGCTAGGTGTGGCATTGTTACGCACGTGACATTGCAGTTTTAGATTGGCTAGTCCTTCGGTCACAAGTTTGGTGAGAAGGTCAGGGGTCTGACGCCGCGATCGTCACAGCTCCACCAGAAGAAGATTAATGTTTTGGAATGGCCAAGTCAGAGTGATCTGTGGGGTGATCTGACGAGGGCTGTGCATAGGAGATGCCCTCGCAATCTGACAGATTTGGAGTGCTTTTGCAAGGAAGAATGGGCAAATATTGCCAAGTCAAGATGTGCCATGCTGATAGACTCATACCCAGAGACTGAGTGCTTTAATGAAATCAAAAGGTGCTTCAACAAAGTATTAGTTTAAGGGTGTGCACACTTATGCAACCATATTATTTTAGTTCTTTATTCTTACTTCCCTCCACCTAAAAGTTTTCAGTTCGTCATTCAACTGAGTTGTACAGTTTATAGGTTACATTAAAGGTGGAAAAAGTTCAGACTTTGTATATCCAGTGTGTGTGTGTATAAGCATGTATATATATATATATATATATATATATATATATATATATATATATATATATATCTATATATATAATATCTATATATACACATCTCTCTCTCTCTATATATATGTACACACACACCTATATATACACACACACTGTATAGATCGATAGATAGATCAAATTTTTTGTATATATAAATGAGCAAACCTGGCTGCCATGTAATGTTTTTTAAAACACAATCACACAAAAAAAATATAATAAGAAAAAACTATACATTGCTTTTAAACAATTTAAAGAGTAGTATATAACATACTGGGTCAGATGCCACTGAGGAACAGCGCTGTACAAGACCACTGAATGTTCTTTGGAGAGGTAGATGCTCTGCGGGTAAACTCTTTCTTCTCTATTTTTTCTACAGGCAGCCGATGCAAACTCTGAAATACAGAAAGATGATTTAAAAGGAACTACGATCCCTAGTACTTTATAAAATGAGCAAGCAACACAAGAGTGAGAGGGTCCTCTGGGTTTTGATTGTACCTGTACGCTTGCTTCTTTAGGAGCACCAGGGGGTGTCTGACCAGGTCATGACTGCTGCTCAAGTGAGGTTGGAGGAGGTCAGGCTCAGAGGAAAGACTCATCACTGGAGCAGTGATAGGAGCTGGAGGAACGAAAGCACTTGGCTACATTGAAAAAAGTTTTAGAAATAAAATTGATTAAACATTTTTAAAGGATTTAGATTCATTTATGTGATCTGAAAATAGGCATACTACATTTTATTTGCTAGATGTAACTTGCCAAAAACAAATAGATATTTTATAGGTGTAAAAATGTCTTAAATAGTAAAGAAAAACACGATAGTCAATATGACAATCTTTAAGTAGCCGAGTACAGGCACACCAATAGGTGGACCTAGACATTTGCAATCCACTTGCATTACAAATCTATAACTCCCCATCTCCTATCAACTTAAGTTTGTTAAATATATTGTTACTACAACGGAGGTCTGATGCTCTTTAGACTAACATTTACAAGCCAATATTATACAATGTCTATTTATATATTGCCTTGGTGATATAAAGCCAAAACTCTTGCATAGCCTGAAAGGGAAGAAGGAAGTGACAATAATGATTGTTCCATCAATCATTAACATTATTTAATTATCTGACTGCACAAGGGGCAGCACATTATGCCAGCTTCCTGTGTATTGAAATGTATTCAAGGCATTTCAAACATTTCACATGAGGTGGAGAACATACACTGGCTGAGCCATCTTTATTAAACAGCAGCAGAAGTCATACATATAGTTACAGATGTGCAGTAAACTGCCTTGTAGTGCTGGCTTTCTAGAAGTGGTAAGGAGAGATGAAATAGAAAGTCCTATGACATGAGTCACATTAGAATATGAGCACTTTATTCTGCTTTGGCTAAGCCACGTAGACAGGGCAGATTCCCTCCAACAAGGCCACATCAAAAGGAGAAAGTTTTAACGAGGAGCTAATCCTGTTGTAGTGAGCTCAGCCTGCAGCTGATTCCCAGCCAGGCCTTCTAAGAAAGCCAAAAGCTTTATTGTGTGAGAGCACAGGCAAAGATGAAGGCCACAGTGAAAGGATGGCCTGAGCATCTTCAACAGTGTAGCTTACAGGGGATTTCTTCCACAGGAAGCAATAACAGTCATGATCTTTGCAGGGCCAAAATGAACTAATTACTCACTGTGCAGGACATAATGCAGGAACCTGGTTGAAGAGGCCCCTGCTTATATATCTAGTCCTAACTTGTAAACCCTTTAGTTACATCATAACTACACAGCAAAAAATATTTTTCAACAATCCCAGAAACGGCTTTTATATATAGTATGCCTTAGAGGTGTTTGTCTTGTATACAAAATTAGAAGGAAAAATAATGCTTGAGGTGATTGTAGCCGTATTAGTGCATTTGCGACAGAAACAATTGAGTGCTGTCCGTGATACTTTTTTTATTTGCACTAACATACAATTTTGAGGACAAGCTTTCGGGGTATGTCCCCTTCTTCAAGGTCTAAGCAGTACTACCATTATCCGACAGCTTTATGACTATCTATTAGCTAAAGCTTGACCCCCTCTGTGTGAGTGTAATATCCCCCCCTCCCCCCCTCGCTTTTGATGTATCTTATCTGTAGCCCTTCTTTTTTTTTTTTTTTCTCAATCCATTCTAACGTTTCTGCTTAAACTTTGTGATTTGTAATAGTACTGCTTAGACCTTGAAGAAGGGGACATACCCCGAAAGCTTGTCCTCAAAATTGTATGTTAGTGCAAATAAAAAAAGTATCACGGACAGTACTCAATTGTTTCTAAGGAAAAATAATCAAAGCAAAAAACTCTTTGCATTATAAGCCCAGCTAAACATGTATTTAATAAATACATTTGTGTTTTAAAACACTGCCTGTGTAATGTACTAAAAGCTGTTTGTATCTTACATTTCCAAACATCCTTTCGCTACAGTAATCACACTGGAAATAGGAAATAAGACCAAAGGGTTATAGAGCGAGCCAGATTCTGCTTTACTGAACAGTGCTGTAAATCTGTAAAAGGTTTCCATTTATGTATGCTGGAGGGGAGTTGATCAGGCAGCTTATAGGGGACGAATACAAGCAGGACATTGGCGGTGTTTTTTTGCTCTTTCAATACAGTGCCTTGAAAAAATTTCATACCACTTGAAATTTTACATATTTTGTCATGTTACAACCAAAAACATAAATGTATTTTGTAGGAACTTTATGTGTTAGACCAACACAAAGTGGCACATAATTGTGAGGTGGAAGAAAAAAATAAATTGTTTTCAAAATTTTTTACAAATAAATATATGAAAAGTGTGGCGTGCATTTGTATTCAGCTCCCTTTAGTCTGATACCCTAACTAAAATCTAAACCAATCCTTCACACCTAATTAGTAAATCGAGTCCACCTGTGTGTAATTTATTCTCAGTATAAATACAGCTGTTCTTTGAAGGCCTCAGAGATTTTTAAGAACATTAGTGAACAAACAGCATCATGAATGCCAAGGAACACACCAGACAGGTCAGGGATAAAGTTGTGGAAAAGTTTAAAACAGGGTTAGGTTTTAAAGAAAATCTCCCAAGCTTTGAACATCTCATGGAGCACTGTTCAATCCATCATCCGAAAATGGAAAGAGCATGGCACAACTGCAAACCTACCAAGACATGGCCGTGGACCTAAACTGACAGGCCAGGCAAGGAGAGCAATAATTAGAGAAGTAGCCCAGAGGCCCATGGTAACTCTGGAGGAGCTGCAGCTCAGGTGGGAGAATCTTTCCACAGGACAACTATTAGTCGTGCATTCCACAAATCTGGTCGTTATGGAAGAGTGGCAAGAAGAAAGATTGTTGAAAAGAAAGTCATAAGAAGTCCTGTTTGCAGTTTGCAAGAAGCCATGTGGGGGACACAGCAAACATGTGGAAGAAGGTGCTCTGGTCAGATGAGACCAAAATTAAACTTTTTGGCCTAAAAACGAAAAGCTATGTGTGACGGAAAACTAACACTGCACATCATCCTGAACACACCATCCCCACCGTGAAACATGGTGGTGGCAGCATCATGGTGTGGGGATGCTTTTCTTCAGCAGGGACAGAGAAGCTGGTCAGAGTTGATGGAAAGATGGATGGATCCAAATACAGGGCAATCTTAGAAGAAAACCTGTTAGAATCTACAAAAGACTTGAGACTGGGGAAGAAGTTCACCTTCCAGCAGGAATATGACCCTAAAAATACAGCCAGAGCTACAAAGGAATGGTGTAGATCAAAAGCATATTCATGTGTTAGAATAGCCCAGTCAAAGTCCAGATCTAAATCCAATTGTGAATCCGTGGCAAGACGTGAAAATTGCTGTTCACAGACACTCTCCATCCAATCTGACAGAGCTTGAACTATTTTGCAAAGAAGAATGGGCAAAATTTTCACTCTCTAAATGTGCAAAGCTGGTAGAGACACCCCCAAAAAGACCTGCAGCTGTAATTGCAGTGAAAGGTGGTTCTACAAAGTATTGACTATTGACCATTTATCATTTTCCTTCCATTTCACAATTATGTGCCACTTTGTGTTGGTTGATAACATAAAATATACCAATAAAATACATTTACATTTTTGGTTGTAACATGACAAAAATGTGGAAAATTTCAAGGGGTATTAATATTTTTTCAAGGTACTGTAGATAAATGATGAGGCAGACTCCAGAGTACACAATAACAGCTGCATCACCATCCTGGCTACACACACACACACACACAAAACCAATGGGTCACATGTATGCGGGCATCTGTTGTTTAGGAAACAAAAATGGAAAAATGGTAAAATCAGCGCCTTGAGCAACTCAAAAGCGACATTAAAGCAAAACCATTTACTACTGGAAGAACTTGAAGGCATACCGCATTTGACTTGCATCCAACTCTGAGCATAATGCCTTACCAAGTCTGATGAGTGTGTGGAGTCTTAATTTGGGTGATCCCAGGGTGTTTGTACAAAACCGGTTTTATCTGAAGGAGGTTTGCACTTCCTTCAGCCTGAACTTCTGGGTTCATAAAGCACTATACCACACTCTGACCAACAAACATTGCAGGTAGGTGGAGTAGCAATGCCATGACTACTGTGATTTCTGAGCTAGAACATTGATACAGTATTTGGGGCACTGTAAAAGATAAACCTCTAAGTTAAACATTTAGGTTCTGATGGCACTTTATCTAGGTGTACTGAAAGCAATACTTTCCTCACACTAATGTCAGAAATGTGATAGCCTTAATGCCCACCTCCAAACACAGTGACATATATTTTTTTTAATTCTTTCCTATTTTGTAAAACAATAATGGTCATTCCGAAATAACTGCGTATAAGTCACCTGAGCAGCTGCCTGAACATACAGTGGCAGTTACATTTCCTTTTACATCAAAGCAGTGTCTAGTACAAATAACAGTTGCAGTGTTGTGCCTTCCTCCCCCTCCTTTGTTTAGCTATTCACAAAGCACAACAGTCCCATCACAAGTTGTGAATGGCTAAGTAGTGGGGCAGTGGGAGAGGGTTGGAGAAACAACACTGGACTGTTGTATGTAATAGACACATTTCTGAAAAGCCTGAAGGACTGTTATTTACACAATTACTTCAACAAGACATGTATGACTGTTTAAATTGGAGTTTTACAAAATATTAAAGGAGTTGGGCTCTAATGCCAGCACAGACCCTTTCAGTAGCTTCCTAACTGCTCCAGGACTACCACAAATATGATGTATTATCTGCAATGGAAATTCCACCAGAGAGCCAAGGACATCACCATGTTTAGTGGATAGACCCAAAGAAATATATGGAGATTATATTCCAGCGAAAAGTAACAGACGTTAATTTTACAACAATGTCTTTCCTGTTCCCTGGACAGGAAGGAAAAATCTTACTAATGGGAAAAAAAGACCACAATAAAACTTTACAGGGAGTCTAATCCTTCCCCTATCTATCCAAAATGAAAATGTTTGGCTGGAGTTCCATCTTGGGTAAGAAAAAAAAAATGTAACTGCCTACTGCTACATTTCAGTTGCTATTGTAGCAAAGGAAAATTCTGTTAATATTTTTCAATAATGGAGTCTCTGGCGATTTAATGGGCTGTGCGCTGAAAAAATACACCACCAAACGTTCAAATATTTTGCTTTGATAATCTCCTGGAACTATATAAGCCTTCAACATAAACCTGTTTTTTAGTGAATTGTTTCATAGGCTTCCATCCAAACTGCGTCTAGAGTGTGTCTATGACTGTGGGAGGCTAATTTTATAGATCTAAGTTAAGGTTTCAATAAAAACATGCAATAATAAGCATCAGCTTATCATTCTGAGATTTTAACCATTCATTAAGAGCAATTTGCAAGCTATCTTTACTTGCCTACAGGACAAATATCCAAAGAGGTGTGAATCTTGGCTTACTGCCAACGATGCTGATGCAAATATTCTGCAGCTACAAGAAGTATGGGGTTTGTTTATCCCCCAAATAATACTTAGGTGGATGCAGCATCGGTCCAATTGGTCCAATGCTGCATCTGTTCCCTGCTGGCTCTAAGTGTAAGAACTCTGATCACATGACCGCCGAGCTCTCTCGGAGCAGAGAGTAGCGACTGTAAGTCACCACTCTCTGCTCTGCCCCCCCCCCCCCCCCACAGAGCTCACTGGAGCACTGGGTTGTGGAGGGGGAGGGAGCGGCCAGCTCAGACTCTCAGTGGCTTTCTGAGAGGTTGAGCCAGGTGACGCGCCAGACTCTGGGGTGGATCACGACTTTACAGTCGGGATCTTTTTCCCAGCCTGGACTGGCTGAGTGACTTCAGCAAGCTGTCAGTTGAAAACAAACTGCACTCCTGTGATCCACAGGAGAAATACAGCCTAGAGAGCTTTGGCAGTACTTCTAATTTAAGGGCTAAATTCACCTTTGGAACATATTACATGTTCCACTCATATTTAGGCAGGAACATGTAACACTTCCCTGCAGCTGCTGTTATTTTCAAATAGTGTGGCTGTGCGGAGCTCCGTCCATACAGCTGCATCATTCATTCACAAATTCCTGGGAATGAAACACAAGTACCGTCTGCCACTATGGCAGACAGACTTGTAGTTTCAATGGGCTGTGGGGGTGCCGATGAGTGCTCTTGTAGTCCCAGACACGTCCTTCCGCTTTTTTTTCTGCTTGTTTATTATTTTTTCTGTAAAACTGAACTTGGCCTATAAAGATTTTGAAACCTTCAGAGAGAAACACCAGATTGTAAATACACTACTTAAACTTGGAGCTGCTATAGTACCTTTTTACGTTGCATACCGGCTTTCAGCGATTCAGCCCAACCTTCATGCTCTCCTGCGGATACAAAACATAGAAGATATCATATATACAGCAGTATACAATGTTTACAGATTTATGGGGGATGTGTGTGATGAAGAACGAAATGCCTCCCAGAAATAAATCTACGGCCGAGCTGTAGAATTATGCAATTATTTGCGGCTATTGCAGCTCTGTGTTCTCAGTGTAGTGAATAAATTAATCAGCCATCTGCTAGGGGTAGGGAGAATCCTCATTTTCAAAAGTAATGCAATGTAGAAAAATTGCCCATTTTGAAAACCGCTTTTACCATAATATACACAGAGGTCTGAGTAACAAAATGGTGGCCGATGTGATTACCTGTGAAGTGAAGGGTGGTCTGATAAAAGCAAGCAACTAAAACAATTTCAAACATTGCCTGTGATGATCAAGGAGATTTTTAAATGTGTTGAAATATCCATTTGGAACAAATCAATCGTTCTGTGGAGAACGTGGAAGGTCTCCGCAGAATGTGACAAAAATGAGGACTGACAGACTTCTTGGTGCCAATCAAACTAAATGAGATGTCTGCCTATGTGTGGCCACCCTGCAGCTTTTAGGGAACTGAGATTCCATTTTTGTCATCCTCATATTTAGCAGATATATAGAACTCAAGACATGTTTGTAATGATTCAAAAGTTTTATATGCAAACTTGTGGTGCATGCAGCCAGTATAACACAAAAGCCATTACTGAAGCATAAGCAAAATTTATAGCAGACTTCAACATTGAATAACGTGGGCATATTCAGAGAACCATCAACAAATGTTTTCCTGATACATGTGATCCAACGGCAGATACTGATTTCCCATATTTCGGTGACAGAAAAAGGACATGTACCGAACATGTACCAAACGTGTCCCCCCCCCCCCCCCCCCCCCCCCAGAAAAAACATAAAAGCTTCATAAGTGGCCAATCGGAACAAAAGGTACAAGCGCATAGGCCCAAATATGAGGGCCACTTGTCTGCTGCTGTTAGTGTCACACTGAAGGAAGTGATAAATACCAAAGACCAGCGCTGAGGAGACTGTGGCTTTGAATCAGTAAAAACCTCATGTACAGGTATGTCTTTATTGTGCAAAAAATCATGAGCAATGGTAAACCCAGGCTGTCAAGATGGAATGCCCGCTCACCTGCGTCCCCAGGCCGGGAAGGGATGATATCGTCGGTGTGTGTTTAGACCAGCTGGGGAACGCAGCGCTCCGGGAGTGACGTCACTGCAACCGGGGCAGAAGTGGAGCACTGGATATGGATTGCAAGCTCAGCTGGTAACCATGACAATGCGTTTCACACGCTTGCGCTTTGTCAAGTCTCAGATATCCATACCCAGTGACCCACTTCCTCCCCGGTTGCAGTGATGTCTCTACCGGAGTGGCGCGATCCCCAGCCGGTGTGGACACACACCAAGAATATCATCCCTTCCCGGCTTGGGGACGCAGGTGAGCGAGCATTCTACCCTGACAGCCTGGGTTTACCATTGCTCTGGATGTTGTTTGGATACATCTCATGATTTTTTGCACAATAAAGACATACCTCTACGTGAGCTTTTTACTGATTCAAAGTCACAGTCTCCTCAGCGCTCATCAGTGGCCAATGTCTACCCTAACTGCCAGTTACCGTTATTAGTACATTCAAAGAGCTGGGTTATAATAAAAAAAAAATATTTTTTTCAAATAGTAAGCACATTAAAAACCAGCATTCTTAGCGTTGCAACATCTGTGTTCAAAACTTCTACAAAAGGTTATCATGTAAACATAACACTGCTTAGAATTTATAGAAGTGCTGTAGTCTCACTATTATGTATATATAGAGCTACAATACAAATCTAAACGAATAAGCCTGGCCTCCCTTCCTGCGATATTACTTTGTGTGTTTCTTCAAGTAGGAGTGGCAGATGAGGAACCTGGAGTTGAAGGATTCAGTTAACAGAATTACAGTTACAGAATTAAAATGACACAAAACTCTAGTCTAAAAAAATAATAAAAGGCTGAGATACAGACAGAGATCCTCCTGCGCAAAAAGGGAAATAGACCTACTGAAAGCTGCCAGCACTTAACCTGCTACCCAAACAGTGTAAATAAAATTTAATAAAATTATATATAGTGCAGTGCTCAAGACTAAATCAAATATTACTATAACTGTGCTCACATGCAATAGTGTCACAAAATTAATCTAACACAAATCATTAAGTGAGATATTTTCATTAAAAAGTGCCACTCAGTGTAATTCCCTATCCCTTCGTGCCCACACAATAAAGCAAATATATATATGAAAAATTAAACTATCATTTGAAAAAATAATTTTCAAAGTGCTCCAAGTGTAGTGACGTGACCACACTTTATATATTAATCAAACAAGTCCAAAAAATATAATAGAAATGTCCATGAAAACTGATAATAAATTCATGCAATGTGCAAAAGATGTGCAAAACAAATGTGTTCTTGCTCCACAACCGTGCCTCTCTTCACCTCCTAAGGCTAGATTGCCTCCTCACCTCCTTAAACTTAGAGGATTCTTCTTTCTTGCTCACTGGGTTGGTGAGCAATTCTCTAGAGGCTTCCGATTGGGGGTAATGGATGTACCCTAAAGTGATCCACAACGTCAGGAGGAGTGCCTGTCACCAGGGGATAAGGATCCAGAGTGATCCTGAAAGCTGTTTGGCCCTTAGGGGTCAGTTTAAGGAGGTGAGGAGGCAATCTAGCCTTAGGAGGTGAAGAGAGGCACGGTTGTGGAGCAAGAACACATTTGTTTTGCACATTGCATGAATTTATTATCAGTTTTCATGGACATTTCTATTATATTTTTTTGGACTTGTTTGATTAATATATAAAGTGTGGTCACGTCACTACACTTGGAGCACTGTGAAAATTATTTTTTCAAATGATAGTTTAATTTTTCATATATATATTTGCTTTATTGTGTGGGCACGAAGGGATAGGGAATTACACTGAGTGGCACTTTTTAATGAAGATATCTCACTTAATGATTTGTGTTAGATTAATTTTGTGACACTATTGCATGTGAGCACAGTTATAGTAATATTTGATTTAGTCTTGAGCGCTGCACTATATATAATTTTATTAAATAAAAGGCTGAGCTCACCCTATACACCTCTTTTCATTGGTGATTATTTGCACTTCAACCATTGTGCGGGTAATTTTATATTTAAATATTTTTTTATTGGAAAATTTGAAACATACAAAATAATTGAAAACATTAGTATAGAGAGGTGCACATTTAATACAAAATCTTGCATAGGTAGGGTAAAATGGGGTAGTGGTACCTCGCCATCCGGCCGAAGTACATTGCAAAAACTTGTTTCAGTTACATGAGAGGTATGCTCAATTTAGTGCACCTTATTGAATTGAGGTATGAACATTAAGGGGAGATTAGAAAGGGGAAAGAGGGGAGAAGAGGGGGGGTAGAGGCACCTAGAATGTCAAAATCGTGTAGTGTGGTTGAATATTATATAATCATTTTATTGAACAGTTGGGGTTGTGTAACCATCGGGTCCATTGAGTCTCAAATTTGTGGTATGAGAAGTTATGGAGGGCTGTTCTCCTCTCCATTTCACATAGGAAGTTAAGATCGACAGTAGTCGGGACAAAGAGGGAGTGATAGTAGATCGCCATAGCCTGGTGATATTGAGCTTCGCGGCTGACAGAATGTGTATGGTAATGGTGCGTGAGGGCAATGGAATTTTGTCTATTCCAATATGGAGGAGCGCTAGAGCCTGGTTTGGGGTTATTGGAGTCTTTGTGATGGAAGAGATTATTTGAAAAACTTGGTTCCAATAGGAAGTCAGGGACCTACACGCCCACAATAAGTGCGTGAGAGTGCCTGATTCCCCACAGTGTCTCCAGCAGGATTGTGAATGTTGAGGATAGAATAGGGCTAACTTGACAGGAGTTAAGTACCCTTGGTGGAGTACTTTCAGATATGTTTCCCAGTGCGAACTGCACTTTGAAGATTTGTAAGTAATGGTAAAAGTTTTTTCCCAAGTGCTAAGAGATATGGGTTGTTGAATTACTTTTTCCCAGTTTGCTATGGACGATGTGTGTGTATTAAATTGCGATTCAACTAGAATCGTGTAGAACGTTGAAATACCTTTTTTTGGATAGGTTGTTTTTTGTAAGAAATGCTGTGTAGTCGCTGGGATTTTAATACTACATGGCACATTCGTCTTGTAGAGGGCATGGGTTACACGTATATAGGTAAAGTATTCAGTAGCTGGGATTTGGTATTTTTCTCTAATAGTCTGAAAGGAATGTAGTGTATTGTTAGTGTACAGGTTTTGTATGTAGAGTAATCCATGGTTAATCCATAAATTTAGGTTTAAATGAGGAGAGAGGAAGTGTAGAGACGAAAGCGGAGTGAGAATTTGAAGATTGTCCTTACGTAGTTGGGTATGAGAAATAAAGTCATACCAAGCTGTTAGAGAGGCTAATATGCAAGGGTGATTATGTAGGTGCGTAAGGTGTGCCCCGCGAGGTATGAATAATAAGTCTGACAAGGTGTGCGGTAGGAATAAGGAAGTTTCCAGAAGAGTCCAGGTTTTGTTGAATGTGGGCTGCCACCAGAAGAAGAGCTGGTCAAGTAAAGTGGCAAGGTAATAGGATTTCATATGTGGGAGTCCGCCTATGGAGGATGGGCGGATTAGGAGATTTGTAGCATATCTAGGCTTTTTCGAATTCCAAAGAAATGTATTCAATATTGCCTGAAGTTTTGTAAAAAAGATGTGAGGGACTGGGATAGGGAGCGTGCGAAAGATGTAAAGTATTTTGGGTAATATACACATTTTAACTGTCGCCAATCTGCCTAACATCGAGAGAGTAGTGGTGCGTAGACCTTTAATCTCTTGCGGAATAGATTCAAGTAGTGGTTTAAAATTAGCGGTATATAGTTGGTTAGTCATTGCAGTCAGTTTGATTCCCAGGTATGGGATGCTAAGTTTTTCCCAAGTGAAGGGGAAGTGTTTGGAGATTAGATTTTGGGTAATCTC